CATAAAATACAGAATTTTAATGAAAAAAAATATCTTTAAAGTAGTTTAGCTTTTAGTGTTGGTAAGTAATGGTAGTGAGTGCTTACCTATCCAGCTTTATGTGTCTCCTTTACATTTCATAAGCATTTTACGTAAAATTGATTTCAAATTTCTGTACAATATCAAAACATTTTTTAAGTATCTTTCTTTTGGTGAATTAAAATGTATTAACTGGATACTTAAGTTTCCCTGATATGAAACACGCTTAACTGGTTTATCTTTTTGTGATTTTTTTATAATTTGAAGAGTATCTGTAACTGTATGTTAAATTTTTACATTATCATGTAAATAGATTTCAGGTAGATAATTTAATAAAGAAAAAATTGAAATTTTAAATTATATATTTATTTTTTATGAATGGCTTATGCAGCATTATAAAATAGGTTTTTCTACCAAAAAAAACCAATAAGTGAAAAAAGGCGATAAAATTTATGAATTTCATTCGGCAAATCTCAAAGTGTTCAACAGCATTCAGATTGGTTTTAATTTTCATCTGGTTACTTCTTTAAATTACAGTCAGTTATGAAGCTTCAAAATGCTACTTTAATTAATAGTCTGGTTCTGGATCATTCCAGATCAAAGTTTTGTTAATTTTTTCTTCCGTAATTTTCATTAAAAAGATGAAAGATTAAATTATATTTGTTCAAAACATTATTTTATTCAAAACATATTGCAAACTGCTTGTTTGTTCACGATATTGGTTTAAAATCGTTTAATGAGATAAAATTCATTTAAAAATGTTAATTAAGTTTAAAAAGTTTAAACCATAATGAATGAATATTTGAATGTGATTGTATGTTCACCTAGACATCGATTTTACGTGTCATGTAAAACTCATCTACTTAATGAAATCATGTAGTCACGCGATCACACAGTTGAATACCAGGGTAAAATCAAATTTCCAGTGCCACTTTAAGAAGATTGATTTGCAGATTGTATGCTGATAAAGTTGATAATATCAATATGCTTTTTGATCAAGGAAATGCTGAAAGCCCCAAATATTTATTCATAATAATGTTACCAAAAGGAAACTTCATCATAAAACTCAAAACATAAAGTCTAAGTATGTATTTTAACATTTACAAGTGTGATGAAAAAACATGACAACTGATTAGTTTCAGTACACCTCCATATTTCAAAACATCTATTAAAATCAAAGAAAATATGTATGCCAATATTATTTTTAAGATGTTTGATGTTTATAGAAATTCTTCCATGTATTAAATATATATATATATATATGCTATATATATATANCCAGATCAAAGTTTTGTTAATTTTTTCTTCCGTAATTTTCATTAAAAAGATGAAAGATTAAATTATATTTGTTCAAAACATTATTTTATTCAAAACATATTGCAAACTGCTTGTTTGTTCACGATATTGGTTTAAAATCGTTTAATGAGATAAAATTCATTTAAAAATGTTAATTAAGTTTAAAAAGTTTAAACCATAATGAATGAATATTTGAATGTGATCGTACCTAGACATCGATTTTACATGTCATGCAAAGCTCATCTACTTAATGAAATCATGTAGTCACGTGATCACACAGTTGAATACCAGGGTAAAATCAAATTTCCGGTTCCACTTTAAGAAGATTCATTTGCAGATTGTATGCTGATAAGGTTGATAATATCAATATGCTTTTTGATCAAGAAAATGCTGAAAGCCCTTAATATTTATTCATAATAATATTACCAAAATGAAACTTCATCATAAGACTTAAAAAATAAAGTTTAAGTATGCATTTTAACATTTCAAAGTGTAATGAAAAAACGTTACAACTGATTAGTTTCAGTACATCTCCATATTTCAAAACATCTATTAAAATCATGGAAAATATGTAGGCCAATATTATTTTTAAGAAGATGTTTGATGTTTATAGAAATTCTCCCATGTATCAAACATATATATGTATATAGCAGCAAGAGCCCATGACAACAAGAGTTCAAAAGTTGTAAATACATTTTCATTCGAAAGCAACTACCTGTTTGGAGGTGCAATGGTATATATGAAGCAAAAATCAATTTTATGAAACATACGCAAAAAATGGGTATGATTAGTTTTTTAACACTCTGCAGTTTATTGTTAATTATGTATACTTTTCCCACTCGTGCATATAATTATTTTTTCACTTTAAATCAGCATTTAGTTTTCCCTTGAATTCCAAATTATGTCTCAAAATGCAATAATTCGGTTACACCAACATCTGAGAGTATTGTAACATTTTATCTATAAAGATTTTATGTGCAACCCATGACAACAAGAGTTTACAAATTATAGGTGCATTCTCATTCGACAGCTTCCTGCTTTGGGGACACAAAGATATTTATGAAAGAAAGTCCTATTTCTTTAAAAAATGATCTTAGTTAGTTTTTTATCAGTTTTCAATCTTATGTTTGTTAATTATGTCTTTTTTCCCAGCAGTTCATATAATGTTTTCAAACTATACCTGTATTTAGTTCACCTAGATTACACTTGAATTTCAAATTATACCTCTAAATGTATTAATTCGATTACATCAAATGCTGAGAGTTTTATAATATTTTATCTACTAAGATATTAACGATTCGAGCCCGTGACAACATGAATTCACAAATTATAATTGCATTCTCATTCGACAACAACTTCCTGTTTTGAGGACACAAAAGGGCTGCCAAGGCATCCCGTTTTCTGTCGAGATTTTCTGATGCATAATGTATGTTTCATAATAAACTGTGCATTATTCGATTCAGTTAGATGTTCAGGCGATTCTCTTCATACATAGATGATGAGACAACGCCACTTCCAAATGTATTCAGTGTTGCGATCAATGGAATGGTGCATCAGAATAGATACATTAGTTGGACTGCATTAGATCCATAGTTTGATATTGGCGAGAATTTTTGATATGGCGACACAGTGAATGCAATCTATTGTTTTGGCTGGGAAATTGTTTTGGCTTTGGAGCTTTCATTTCAGATGAGTGGCTCGTTATTAAATCAAGCATTTCGGAAATAGAGTGATGCTTCCTTGTTATAAGCAAAGTTTTCGATATAAAGTATTGTAAATAAACTTAACTTGTCGTTGAGGGTATTTAATTATGCAAGTCAATGTTTGATTAAGATTTTGTAATTAAAAATGGCAGTTAAAATTTATAATTTTAACTTTAAGGAAAGAAGTTAATTTCTATAAAGATTAAATATTTGTTTCAACTTATAGTACAAAAAAAATGTTTTTTGATCCTGAAATATAATTATGAAGCTATATGCTAATTAAACTGTTTTATTGTAGCTCCAAAAGTATTAATTTATGCATTTTTTAATTTTCTGAGAAAGTTTGCAATAAAGAGTAATATTTGATAGCTGTAATTTAGGAACTAAGTAAATAAGGTAAATAAGTTAGTTCATAATAAGTTGAGAAAGCGCTCATGTATTTTACGAGTGATAATACATATTTATATCTTGATTTAAAAAAATATTAATTCGATTTTTTAAAAAAAATTAAGTATAACTAGCGCTTTGATACAACTTGATATTTTTAACAATCACAAGTTATTACCAAACAGAATATTCCTTCTTTCAAACTTTTTTAAAGAAATCATGTATGTTTTATTAAAAAATAGATTTTTTTTCCTTATTAAGGAGAATTACAAAAAAAACTTGAAAAAATGAACAACGAGAAAGACAGATTAGTATGATTTAAGTCTTTGCTCCACAAGTGCAGTGGCTTTTTAGTACAGTACCGTCTCAATACAGATCGAAATCAATAATGACTTTAAATATCGAGAACTAGTTTTAAAAAGATTGTATACACGTTTACAAAAATCTGTAATTATTTCACAGAAGCAGTATATTTATACTAGAATTTTTTACCATGTTTGTACTACATAATGCTTAGACAAATCTTCCAGTTATGTCGGCAATGTACTGATCAAAGTATGTTAAGTATGTTCCTGTTATTTTCTGTATCAATAAAATTTAAAGAAAAAAGTCTAATCCAGACAGTAGTTTGATTCTATACTTTAAAGAATTGTCGAAAAATTAGGAAAGTTGGTATTTAATTTACATGACCCATTATCTTTCAGAAATTGTTAAGGGGCTATAATTCTGAACAAAATGTATTAAAACTAGTATAACTGACTAATGATTTATACGGTTAATATCCGTTATCCGTTTCAGTTCCATTTGAGAATGTGCATCCTTTTACATGGTAGCTATGCTTGCATGTGCATGTACATACGTACACTGTCTTCCCGGATTGATCTTTGCCTGCACCAAGGAATATATATCTCTCTATATTTGAAGATTTTCCTTGAACATTTTCTCCTGATTAACGACCTAGACACATTGATGCCCTATACAATTTCGCCACGTTCCACGATTCTCAAACAACGTCAAGGCTTGAACTGAAGATAACTGTTACGAGCATAATACTAATTCACGGTCCCAATTGTTGTACTAGCCGAAGGAATTCAAAAGCATACCTGTATTTTTTTAGTTCATGATTGGTTTTCGGTCATAAATTTATTTTCACGATCAGTGATTGTAACACTTTTTTTCTGGTCACCAGCCGTAATCTACTGATAAAAATTTTTGAGTGCATCATTCACTGAAAAAAATAATAAAAAAATCTATTGTAAACGCATTAAAAGCTAATTAATTATCGTTTTTATATTAGATTGCTAAATTACCAGAAGAAAATTTCTTTATGAAATTAATTTGAGTAATATAGTATACCCACTGTGAGGTGGGTTGTTACCTACCATGTCAACCTTCATCCATGAAAAGGTACCCCGACATAGAGTCAAGTTAACATGTCTTGTATACTAGTGAATTGTAGTTGTAATTTTGTAGTGGTAGATATGCTACACCCTTAATATTTTGTACTTTTTTCCCAAACAGATTTTATGATTACCTATAAAATCTTGCGTAACTTTCTTTTAAATGTTTTGAATAATTTTTTTAATTCTTTTCCAGCTATCGATGTGTATTTGTATTCCGTTGAATTCAGAGGAATGAAGCTAGCTGGTGTTGTTTTAAGCATGATAGGATTCTGTCTCGTACTTTTACCTGAAAATTGGCCCGATTACCTCAAAATGTTACTTATTTGGCGACGGACCAAATATTCTCAAGAAACTGTTTGCAAAATTGAATCATCTCGAACAAGCTATACTTCTCGTCTCAGAACACAAAGCGGCCGTGTCAAATAAACAGAACTTTTAAGAAAACTAAAGATTTGCTTCTTTGAATCTGACCAACGCATTGTTTAGTAACAAATACACTGACTTAGAATGCGCATTTTAAACAAGTACTTATCCGTTAGTTGGGTATCAAGCAAATCTTGGCTACTTCCGTGAAGCCTTGTCATCAATGCATCAACATTTCGTCATTAATTCGTCGGCATTGCATCTGCTGGCTACGGTTTCAGTTTATGTTAATTTTTACTTTAACTTTTTGCTTTCGGCTCGATGTATGTTGTCCAGTCTGCTTCACTTGTTGTACTAGCCTTAAGCAAAAAGTAAACAACATTTATCACAAATATTAAACAAAGCATATATAAGAGACGCAATAATGAAGGAAAAAAGATTTTGTTTGAAATTGTCTGATTTTTAATTTCTTTCGTACTTTAATGGCACTTAGTATAGTTCTCTTTACAGTTATCTTAAAGCGAACCTTAAAAATTTAACGGATTTTTTGATGCGATGAATTTCTTCTGGTATTCAGCTAACAGATGTGTACCAAAAATATGCGTAAATGTCATTGTTTGGGATATCCAGGTAAAGCTTTATGATGTTTTTAAGTTATTATAAAGCATATTTTTTTAGAAATTGCTCTTGTTTTTAATGTGAAAAATTAAAATTCCGTTTGCATAATCATTAAGATACTCATACTTGCTATGCAAACAAATAATCCGTGATACTTTAAAAAGAGCTGAAATATTTTGGGCAATAAAGTATTAAAAATATTTATTTTTGCATTTTAATTTGTATATAAGCCTAATTTATATTGATGTTTTCTACAGTAAGAGGAAAAAAATTGCAACATAAACTTTATAATGTATTCTCAAGCCGTCTTAAAAAGTCACAATATTTAATATGAATTATTAAATCATATTTAAAATACATATTTACTTTAGATTAAATGACTCGATGCTTTTATGTTTTTGCGCCTTTTTTTTATTCTAGTTAATATAATTATTTATTGAAACAAACTCGTAAGAATTCATGTAGGAAAATTTATTTTTATTTTTATTTTTTTAAAAAAAACTTTTAATATTTCATAAATTTTTATTACCGCTTATATATTTTTATATATTCTATTATTAATCAATAATATATCAATAGGCTTATCTTAATCGAAAAAATATTTATTTTTCTTAAGTTATTTTTTTATTGAATGAGTCACGCGCATTAATTCAAATGAAAGACTTGTTTTTGGATTGTTCAAAACAACGCTTCATTTCTTAAAAGCAAAATCTTCTATACCATATGTTCAATAAAAACAAACATCTTATTATAAATATTTCGAAGTGCTTATGAAAGTCATATACATTAAAATAGTTACTTGGAAACTTAGATTATATTTTAGTTGAATATAACATAGGTGCTATATGAGACAAGGTTGATTAATACATTAGATTGAAGATATGCAATTAGTTTTAGTTTATAAATTGCTAGTTCAAAGAAAATTTAGTTTAGATATGCTGTAGTAAAAGGTTTTTAATTTGCTGAAATAGATCATCAGATTAATATCGTGGTAATTATTTTTTAAATGTACATTGTGAATTTTCTAGAGTTGTATTTATGCTTGATATTAGAAAAAAAATGATGTAAATTGTTATGACACATATATTTGTGAAATTTTATTGTATTTGAAAATTTAAAAAAAAACTCACTAGGAACAATTCTGAAACTATCAGATGTTTCCGTTTAAAATCAAAAAATATGCTGCATTGTTTCTAAAAATTCCAATATAAATATTATATGAAATAAATATATAGTTTTTAACTATCATATTTACTTTAAAATAAAAGTAAATTATCTATTTAAAATATCTCAAAATCTCTAAAATATCTTTATATAAATAATCTTTAAAATATCTTAAAATATCTCAAAATCGAAGCTTAATAATCTCTTTCGATTATTAAGCTTCTTGAACTGTTTCCTTCTATAACATGTGCCAAGCTTAAAATTTACTGTGCAATACAAGCAAGAGCTTATACTTATTTGTATGAATGTAACAGAATTTCAAACGAATATAATTGTGGATATACGAAGCAAACCAATGTCAAAACTTAAAAATGTTGAAAAGATTTTAAATTTCTTTTAAAATCTTGTAATAATTGCTTCAACGATAATATTATGTCATTAGTTTAAACTTTCATAGCAGGCGTGCATATATATAACTGACCAATCAGAAGCAAGTTTAGTTTTGTATTTTAAATTCAGATTGCATCGCTATTGATTCCATGCCATTCAATTCTGTGCATCTAGGTTCACACTATAGCTGAGAGGGCAATTTGATTAGTCTCAGGACCTGCTAAACAAGGATTTCAATCTCAGCGTTGACGCCACAATATCTTTTCTATTTTATAAATACATAAAGAGTTTAGAGTGTCCTGCAATTTTACAGTGTCCCAGGACTATTTTAATACAAAACTATCATTTATGCATAAATGACTCATTATCCACAGAGCTCCAATATCCATTTAAGTTTTATTTTTATGGTTTAGAAACTATGCAAGATGCCAATGGTTACAAAACCGTACAGTTTTGTATACATGATTTCGTAAATCGTACCCGTTGTAAGCCGTTTCAAAACCGTAAAGAGAAAAAAATATGTTCCTAACCATAATCTTTATTGTTAATCGGATGAACAGACTGCTGTCGGTTATTTTGTCTTAATTACAGAATGAAAATTCTAACATGCCTAGGAAACTCGTGCGAGCTTTCACATTAGCATAAAATAACATTCTTTCCTAAAACTATTTAAGCTATTTCATGTACATATCTTTAATATTCAAATTTATGGCATAAATTGTAAAAAACTATTGCTCCAGTGGTTGCACAGTATCATGATTAAAAATGACAATGGTTTTCTCTGCAGTAATCTACAGTTATATTTTTATGAAATTCTCATAACAGCAATTTACTGTTTCTCACAAAATCTGACTAAACTATGTCTCATAAAATTAATCATAAAAACATGTACTTGACTATAAAATGTAAATAAACCTATATGTTTTTGTATGATAATAAATTTCGTTATTTTTATAGGAGCTCATTCTTTGTAAAGTAAAGTGAAAAAATGTAATGGATTTTCTAAACTGACATAGAAAAAAGCGTATAAGTTCCAATAAAATATAAAAGAAGGTAGATAATAGTTTCGGTCAAGTAGGCTGTTGTTAAAACCTCGAAGAACCGCATATAAGTGAAGCCGCAAATGTTTTCAATATTTTTGATATCCTCCACCCCTTTTTCCCACAGTGTCACATTTCACCATACTCCCTACACGATTGCCACGCTATATTATATTAGGGGGACCAGAAAGTAAGGTCTTTTCGGTGCATTTTATATTTATTATGAAGAGTTTATTTTTAATCAATAATGTATTCACTCTCGTTAGAAACTACCTTTCAATATCAGATCGAAAATGAATCAAAATAGATCGAAAAAAATGAATTGGTTTTTATGACTAACGAATATTTAATGCACTGAAACGAAATTACTTTCCGGTCCCCCTAATATATACAAGTGAACTTGAAGTTCAGAAGCAAAACACAGGTTTTAGGTGTCTTAAAATTTATTTTTTAATTTTTATTGTGCGTTTTAACGAGATTAAACAACAATGTATACTTAGTTGATTTTATGTATATTTAATTTGATTATATGTTTACTTAATTTGATGAAAAATTAATAATAAAAATGAAAAGCCAAGAATTTAATCTGTTGATTTTAAATATTTTTATTTTAAGTGAAACGTAAAATGCGACTTTTCTCGTTACCCCTTCGATCACTCTTATCTCAAATTGTCACAATTTCACCCTTTAATCGTTACATCAATTATGATTAGATGTAAGTTAAAGCGTTTCACTGATCCTGGTACCTGCTTACAGCGCAAATGTATCGTGAAAATAAATGTTTAGATCATACATTAAGTGTTATAGACCATAGGTTCTAGTATTGTGCTCCACGGAGCCTTTAGTGCTCCGATAAAAGATAAATAAGAAAAATATGAGTGGAAGATATTTTAAATTTTTAAAATTTAAGAAGAAAAATAAAATTTAAAATAAGAATTAAGAAAATCCTTGTTGTTATATATATATATATATATATATTNGCTATAAAGGCCAGCAACTTTCCCTTCTCATAAACGGCATCTGAGGTTTTGCGTAGCATTTGCGACTTTCGAAAAAGCGTAGAAAATGCCTCTGAGACGTCGGCGAGCTCAATACCATCAGTTAACGACCGGGGAACGTGACCGTATTATCGAACTCCATGAACTTGGTTTGTCGCTGCACGCAATAGCAACTCGTGTTGGGCACAACGTGAGTACCATCCAACGTTGTGTCACACGATGGATTCAGGAAGGTCTACGTGCACGCCGAAGAGGAAGTGGTGCGCACAGGTGCACGTCAGAGCGCACAGACCGGCGTATTCGCCAGTTGACTATTCGAGACCCTTTCTCCACGGCACGTGCCATCCGAAGCCGGTTGCCTTCAGGAGCAGGTGGATCTGTGTCCACCCAAACCATACGCAACAGATTGCATGAAGTACAGTTACGTGCACGGGTACCAGCAACAGGGGTACCGTTGACCGCTTTACACAGGGCTAGACGCCTGGCGTGGTGTCATCGTCATCGTACCTGGACCATCCAATGGCATCGGGTATTGTTCACGGATGAATCTCGTTTCTGTCTGTGGAGAAATGACGGCCGTCGACGGGTATGGCGGCGACCCGGAGAACGCTACGAACCAGCCCATTACGCCGAGCGTCACAACGGTCCTACACCGGGCATCATGGTTTGGGGTGGCATAATGTTTGATCGCAGAACGCCCCTGGTACACATTCACGGCAGTTTGACAGCGGACCGCTACGTCACACAAGTTGTGTATCCCGTTGTTCTGCCCTTGCTGCAGGGCGTACCTAACACGGTATTCCAGCAAGACAATGCCAGGTCGCATGTCGCACGGCAAACTCTTAACAGCCTGACTGGATTTGATATCCTTCCCTGGCCGGCAGCCTCTCCAGATCTGAATCCCATAGAACACCTATGGGATCTCATTGGACGTGGCATGAACAGAGGACCAATGGAGCAAACCATCGATGATCTGCGCACAGCAGTGGATGTGGCTTGGCAAAAATTACCTCAGGCAACCATCAATGGAGTCATTGATAGCATGCCTCGCCGGATTGAGGCCTGTATATATGCCCGAGGTGGCCACATTAGATATTGAATAAATTGCTTTATAATGATTTTATTAGTTTGTGTTTTTGATCTTTTGCATATCCATCTCTCTACTATTGCTCCTGAAATTTGCATGACGCTACGTGCATTATTTCTTGATGTTGCAATTTCACTTTTGAGGAGTGTATATATATATTAACTAAAAAATATACGAAATAAATATAAAATGAGATGTAAGAAAAATACAGAAGAAAATATAAAATGTAATCTATAAAGCGAGAAGAAAACTCAAAAGAACATTTCGGAATCATTCCAGAATGATTAAAAATATTTTTGTAATAAGTTTGCCTGATTACAAAATATGAAATAGAAGCGTAAATAGAAGTTGGAAGCGCAAGTAGAGGGATATTTTATGGCACATTCTTACTGCAGTACTGAAGCGTGTATGATTTGTTAGTTTCCTTGGGTTTAATTCTTTGGATTAGTTTCCTTGGGTGTAACTTAAGATTTATAATTGATAAGGTTGATATTTAATCATGCAATTTGAAGGATTTTAGAAAATGAACAATTATTTAAAGATTATATTGGGTCCTTGGGTTAGTTTCCTTTTGTTAACTTAAAATTTATAATTGATTTTTGAAAAATTAACATTTATTTAAAGAGAAATTGACATGCCCGATTTGCGATAATTTTTAGCCACGGATTTTCCCGAATTTGATTTGCAAATGGTAAAAATATAAATTTAGTTAACAAAGAAATGTTTAGTAAATTTAATTGCAATATTAACGTACAATTAACTTAATGATTTTACATAAAAATTGATTTCATTAGTTA